GGGGGGGGGGGTTAGAGAGCAGGGGGGGGGAACAGCTCCTGGCTGGAAACATAGTAACAAGAATGAAGAGTGAAACCATTCCAGAAACCGTGTTGTTCAGATGCAGATGCTTGATAAAGTATGTAAGACCCTCACAACTACACCATGAGACAGGCTATGGATTGGACGCTTTTGCTCAGTTCTGTGGTCACAGCAAGTGTTGCAGACACACCTAAGGCCAAGCTAAGCTTTGCAGTTCAGGGAGGCTGGTGTATTAAATGCAATTGTAAGCGGTTACTTTCGTGACTGTATGTGTCTCTGTGTGTGCCACGTGAGTGCAGGTACCCACAGAGGTCAAAAGAGGGCGCTGGATCCGCTGGAGCTGGAGCCACAGCAGGTTCTGAGCTACTGGGCACGGGGCTCCGGGAACTCTGCAAGAGCAGCTGGTGCTCTCAGGCTCTGAGCCACCTCCCCAGCCCCTTAAGACAAGTGCATCAGACGGTGAGCCTGACATCCCGACATCACCTGTGCATCGATGGGATGGACTACTGCAGGGCAGTAAAAGGAACAAATGGTGTCTCCAGCAAGATGAATGGATGAATGAATGAATGAATGAATCCAGGGCAACTGTGCTGAGCGGCAGGAGCCACACACTGGAACAGAGTCTCCCTCTGATCGATGCACAGCATCTAAGCAATCACTGAAGAGTCTGGGTTTCAAATTCAGGACAAACTACTAAATGTTCCTGGCCTCTCAGCGGTGCTTCCTACCGGGTGGGGCGGCGCACGCCTTTAACCCAGCACTCAGAAGGCAGAGGCAGGCGGATCTCTGTGAGCTCCAGGCCAGCCTGGTCTACACAGAGAGTTCTAGGCCAGCCAGGGCTAAATTATGAGACTCTAAAAATAAACAAACAATAAAATGGCACTTCTTTCATAGTCCCCAGCAGCAATCCACATTTTCACACTTATTTTGGTGTCTTCAATGGGACAACTATTAGATTTATGTCTTGCATTACAAGTTACACCAGGCCTACTGGTAAATCCCTGTTTCCTGTTGAGCTGGACTTAGTCCATTCCACTGATGCAGAAAGCTTCTCAAGTAGAAACTCTGGGCTTAAAGATCTGAACCAGCCTTTTATTTTTCTGTCTCAGAAACCCTGAGACAGGGTTTCTCTGTGTAGCCCTGGCTGCCCTGGAACTGGCTCTGTAGACCAGGCTGACCTCGAACTCAGAGATCCGCCTGCCTCTGCCTCGGGTGCTGGGATTAAAGGCTGTGCCACCACGCCCAGCTTGGACTAGTCTGTAATATATCAGTATATCTACCCTGTACACAGTGACGTTTCATGATAACATTTTTCACTGTGGTAGCTCAAGCACATGACCTTCATCTGCCCTTCCTTCCTTAACCCAATTGATCCTCCTCTACTTTCTACTATACTCCTACTTTTAAAAAAACCCTCATGAAGGTTGAGTGTGGGTGTAGATCTCTGTGAGTTCAAGGCCATCCTGGTCTTCATAGCAAGTTCCAAGGCAGCCAGAGCTAATCAAGAGACCCTGTCTTAAAAAGAAAAGAAGCCTTCATGGGTTGGAGAGATGATTTAGGGTAAAACTGCTTCCCATCAAGCCGCTGTTGTAGTCAGCCTCCTGTGTCAACTATGTATAAACCTGGAGTCACCTGGGAAGAGGGAACCTCAGCTCCAGAACTGCTTCAATCAGACTGACCCACAGCCAGGTCTGTGAGACCTTTTCTTAACTGCTAACTGATGTCGGAGGGCCCGGCCCACTGTGGGCGACACAATCCCTTAGCAGGTGGGCCTGGGCTATAAGCAGTGTTCCTCCACAGCCTCTGCTTCAAGCTCTTGCCTTGAGTTCCTGCTTCGGTTTCCCTCAATGACGGACTGTAACCTGCAAATCAAATAAACCCTTTCCTCCTGCAACAAAGCATGGCTGCCTAGCAGGAAGGGACTATGCGTGTATTGTACAGGCACTATTGATCACCACAATAAAGTAACGTGAAAAATCCGTCCCATCATGAGTAAGCAAAACTCTCTCTTACAACACAGGCATTTCTGAAAGAGTTCATTTGCGTGTCAGTGAAGTCTTCTAAGAAACTAGGAGAGGAGAGGGTAGAGAAGGGACAGCGGAGAGTAAGCCAAGAGTGGCGGGCGCTGCCCCGTCTGCCAGCTATTCGACAGCGGGCACTTGTGGCACGTCCACTCCTAACCGCCCCACGGGCATCCAGGAGAAAGAGCTCAGGCAGGCGAAGCCATCCACAGGCGAAGCCATCATCCCCAGGCTGCTCCCTTCAGGACAGTGGGGTGTCAGCTATTCTAAGAGCAGAGCTCTCCTTATGCAAATTATCACAGAAAGGACTTACTGGAAGAAAAGCACAGACTAGGTTTGCTTTGCTTTTGCTGATGTCAACCATCAGCTGCGGTGGCTGTCACTCACTTCAAGGAAGAGTCCCCGACGCCGATGCAGCCGCGCAAGCTGAGCTTTCTAAGGAAGCCACCACACCTCTTGGAGATGTTTTCCACCACTCGGCCCTTAAATGGAGAAAGGTGGGAAACGGTCACTTTTCATGCTGGCACTACTATTTAATAACAGAATAAGCTGACCTGTAAATGGAGTTTTCCAAATGCAGCAAGAGATGCACCCGCTGGTCTGGAGTCCATCCTCACCTGTCCTCCACGAGCGCAGTGAGGACTCTCTGAGCACCTCACTGCCTTTCAGATTGGAAAGCACCCCCCACACCCACAGCTATTCCCCCACTGCCTTTCAGATTGGAAAGCACCCCCCACACCCACAGCTATTCCCCCACTGCCTTTCAGATTGGAAAGCGCCCTCCCACACCCATGGCTATTCCAGCTGCTCCACTGGAATGTAGCTGTGGAAGCCGCTGGGAGAATAAAATAATGCTGCAAAAAGCAAGTCAGTCTTTTTAACATATGTGTATTGTGTGTGCGTGTGGTGTATGTTTTACATATAGCTATCTTGGCAGAGACCTGTAAACACTAGGGATCTGCTGGGACACAAACCACAACACTGTCAGAGGGCTGACACACATAGCTACCTGGCAAACATCAGCTAGACTGCAAGTCTGACCGTCCACACTGGTAGTATTCATTATTTTTCTTGAGGATTACCTGAGCTACTTTTTTAATATTTTATTTTTATTTATGTATATGTGTGAGTACCCACAAAGGCCAGGAGAGGCTGCTGGATCCCCTGGAGACGCAGCTTGTAGGAGCTGGTAAGTCACCCAACATGTGTCTGTGAAGAGAACTGGGGTCCACCAGGAAAGCAGCTAGGGGATGTCCACAGGAAGCCTCCCTTTCTGAGTGAATGCAGAGGAGGTGTGGACTCGGGGGAGGGGAGAGGAGGGAGGGAAGGCTGCAGTGGAATGTAAACTAACTAAACAAACAAATAAACCAATGAGCTGAACTGGTTGGGAGGGCTTGGGGGGAGCTGTACAGGGGAAATACAGGGCAGAAGTGAGGGTTTCACTGTCTCCGTGTATGACTTCAAGAATAAAGAAACATTAATATAAACATAAGAGAAGAAAAGAAGCCGGGCGGTGGTGGCGCACGCCTTTAATCCCAGCACCCGGGAGGCAGAGGCAGGCGGATCTCTGTGAGTTCGAGGCCAGCCTGGGCTACAGAGCGAGATCCAGGAAAGGCGCAAAGCTACACAGAGAAACCCTGTCTCGAAAAAAAAGAAAGAAAGAAAGAATGAAAGAAAGAAAGAAAGAAAGAAAGAAAGAAAGAAAGAAAGAAAGAAGAGAAAAGAAAAGAAAAAAGAAAAGAAAAGAGAAAAGAAAAGAAAAGAAAAGAAAAGAAAAGAAAAGAAAAGAAAAGAAAAGAAAAGAAAAGAAAAGAAAAGAAAAGAAAAGAAAAGCAGCAAGTGCTCTTAACCCCTGAGCCATCTCTCTAACAGGAGTTGATCATTTTTAAGCAAAATCCAAGACAACTGTAAAATAAATCTTTGCTACCAAAGGGGAAAGATTAGGACTTGGAAATCAAAATTGTAAGCAGCTAACAGCAGAACCCACAGCAGCTTCTGGTAGCTCTCCACTGCAAGACTTCATTCCTTTGTTCACTGGAACAACAGTTCTTGCACCAGAATAAAAAAAGTTATGTACATGGCCATAATTATGCACCACTGTTTCTAAGAGGGGGAAAAATGGCAAGTCCTTTGCTAATTCAATGTTAATTCAATAGCCCTTGTTACCTGCCTGAGAGCACACCACAGGTATCCTCAGGATGGGATCCTCAGGATGAGATCCTCAGGATGGCATCCTCAGGATGGGATCCTCAGGATGGGATCCTCAGGATGGGATCCTCAGGATGGGATCCTCAGGATGGGAGGCTCTGGGGAGGCTTACATAGGCTTTTAAAACCCAAAGTTATGACTTTAACATACCACCTGGTTTCTTCTCATTTTTTTGGTCTGGTTACACTTTTGAGTTAGATCTTTGAGAATCTTGTACTATCTTTTCATCACATTCAAGCCTCTCAGATCCGCACAGATCCACCCCTTCCTTACACACCCAACCTTGTGGGTTGTTTTTGGTTTTTTCACTCATCGACTCCAAGTTGTGCTGCCCACCCCTTCTCGGTGTGCGCCACTCTCCTGGAGCATCATCACTTCACCGGGGGCTATATTCTCTTGTTTTGTTGTTTGTTTTTCGAGACAGGGTTTCACTGTGTAGCCTGGCTGTCCTGGAACTCACTCTGTTGACCAGGCTGGCCTCGAACTCACAGAGATCCGCCTGGCTCTGCCTCCCGAGTGCTGGGATTGAAGGCGTGTGCCACCCCTGCATGACTCAGAGGCTACATTCTTAAAGAAAAGTGACTTTCCCCTCTCCTAACAACTATCAATCATCGATAGTTCCTCAGCTATAGGTGGGTAGCATTTGTAACTACAAAAATTGATGAGGAATGGACAATTTCTTTTTTACTTTAAAATTTTATATATTTCTGTATATACATGTAAAAGTACCATGGCACAGGGTGGAGGTCAGAGGCCAGTTTGCAAGAGTCTGTTCTCTCTTTCCACCATGTGGGGCCCCAGAACTGATCTCAGATAGTCAGGCTTGGTAGCAAGTGCCTTTACCCACAGAGCCATCTCCTGGTCTCATGTGTCCAATCTCTGGAGGCATGGAAATGCCTCGCTACAGGCAAAGTTTCTGTCCTGCCTGGTCCCGCAGCCATTCAGTCCCAAATAAACACAAAGAGGCCTATATTAATTATAAACTGTTTAGCCTATAGCTCAGGCTTATTGCTAGCTAGCTATTAAATCTTAAATTACCCCATTTCTATTCATCTATGTATTGCCACATGTGGCTTCATGGTGTTACCTGTATTGAATTACATCTTGCTCCCCTGGCAGCGCTCAACATCTCCTAGACTCCACCTTTCTCCTTCCTGTATCTCTGCTTAGATTTCCCACCTGCCTCTAAGCTGCCTTGCCATAGGCCAAAGCATCTTATTTATTAACCAATGGTAGCAACACATATTCACAGCATACAGAAAGACCATCCCCAGCACTTCCCCTTTTCTGTCTAATCAAAAAGGGAGGTTTTCATTTTAACATAGTAAAATTACATATAACAAACAGTTATCAAGCAAGAATTACAGTTAAAATATCTAGTCTATTTGTATGTGGCATTTAAGATGTTATAATAACATAGGTTCTTCTTTTTACGACAGTGAGACATGTCTGCTCCTGGCAGCACCAATATACTTCAAAGAAGATGATGGGCATCAAAGAAATCTCCATATGGAATTTCCTTTCTCTGTGGCAAAAGTTAGCCACTGGGAAAGAAAATGCCCTTGCCTCAACTGCTAACAGTATGCTGTCCAAATGCACAAGCAGGACAAAAGAAAGGACTGCCCAACTTTGCCAAGACAAAGTAGGAAGGCCCTTTAGAAAATCCTGCTTCACAGTTCAGTCTGTCAGATATGCTAGGCCTGTAGGCTGAAGATGGATGCCCCAATGTTACAGAGGGACCCTGGGTGACTGTCCAGTCAGCCAGCTGTTTCTGTCATTTCTCATAATTTTTGGAAGTCATTTGCTTGCACTTCCTGTTCACTCAGGTAATATTTCCTTCTCAGGTCTCTGATGGAGTTGAAGACTAGACAGTTATAGTTTTCCTTGTTAACAAATTCAGAAAAGAAACTCACGGAAGAGGTGTAAAGTATATAAGTTTTAAAGACATCAAAAGATAGTTTCCATTGGTAATACAAGTTAGATACAAAGTGAATTAGGTATAACACTTTGGACTCATCAAAATAGAATAAATAATGGAGTATTTTCTCTGAATTGGTCAATTGCTAATGGACTGGACATTGTTAATGTAATTCTTGACTGTATATATTATATATAGTTGTTATACTTACTATATATAGTTTTCCTTATATTAGTTATAACCTACTTTATTTTAGACCAAAAAAAGGAGAAATATGGTGATATTTTGTATATACTCTAACAAATCTTGTCTGAAGATCAGAGGGCAGAGCCAGTCACAGAGTTAGCCATAGAGGCCAGGCAGTGGTGGCACACACCTTTAATCCTAGCACTCAGGAGGCAGAGGCAGACTGATCTCTGCGAGTTCAGGCCACCCTGGACTATATGAGATTAATCCAGTCTAAAAGAGAAACAGAGCCAGGCGGTGATGGCTCACACCTTTAATCCCAGTACTTGGGAGTCACACGCCTTTAATCCCAGTTCTAGGAAGGTTGAGACAGGAAGTGATATGGCTGGGTGGAGAAAGGAATGTAAGGTAGGAGGAGACAGGAGTTTGGGCCCCCTTTCGCTGAGAACTCAGGGGTATTCAGTCGGGGGGATTTGTGGAGACAGGATCTTCTTTTGGCTGAGGAGTTGGTGAGGTGAGAAGTAGCTGTGGCTTACTTCCTCTGATCTTTCAGCATTTACCCCCAATATCTGGCTCTGGGTTTTTATTATAAGACCAATTAGGATTCGTACAACATCTCACCTCAGAGAAGAATGTACATTCAGAAAGAGTGGCACTGGAAGACTCCATAAGCTCCTGCCATTTGAACACTTTATTTGCCTTTTCTACCAACCCGCAGGTGTGTAGCCCACTTCCCTAGGTAGGTACCTAGACTCAACCTATTTGATCCTCAGTTTCTTCAGTTTGTTTTTTTAAATTAATTTATCGATTTACATGTATGTGTTTGTCTATGTGAGTTTATGTGCACAACGTGAGTGCAGGAGCCCTCGGAGGCCACAAGAGGGCCTCAGATTGCCTAGAACTGGAGTTCCAGTAGTTGTGAGCTGCCATGTGATACTGGGAATCAAACCCAGGTCCTTTGCGGGAGCAGCAAGTGCTCTGAACCACTGAACTGTCTCTACAGCCCCTCTGCAGTCTGGTATTGAGAGGACAGAGGAACTGCATTAACACACGAGGCATGCTCAGAACTGTGTGGGCAGTCAGGAATTACCGCTGTGTGTTATCTGCAGGGACTAGGGCTTCTCTGACGTAGGATGTCCTTCTGTATGCTGCACATATGTGTTGCTTTTATTGGTTGATGAATAAAGCTGCTTTGGCCTATGGCAAGGCAGAATGTAGCTAGGCGGGAAAGCTGAACTAAATACAAAGGAGGGCAGAGCTGAGGAGACACATTCCAGCCACCGGAGGAGCAAGATGTATCAGAAGACAGGTAAAGCCACGAGACACACAGCAAAACACAGATTAATAGAAAAGAATTAATATAAGTTTTAAGAGCTGGTTAGTAATAAGCCTGAGAATAGGCCAAACAGTTTGTAATTAGTATTAAGCCTCTAAGTGGTTATTTTATAAGTGGCTGTGGGACCAGGTAGGACAGAAAAAAGCTTTCAGTTATATTTCCCTTCCCAGAGGGACACATGGATCCTTTGGTCCTTGTCTCCTCTGCACTCACCCACCAAAGAGTGAGGAATGAAGGACTCCAAAGTGAGCAGTGAGAAGGAAGTGCTCTGCCCATTTGCTGTAGCTATTTGCAAAATGGAGAGACCCTGGCTCAAAAAACACTACCATCAGCGGGACCAGAGCCATGTCTGAGTAGGTAATGGTGCCTGTTATCAAGCCCGAAGGCCTGAATCTGATCCTTGGAACCTGAGAACTGACTCCTGCAGGTTGTCCTCTGACCTCCCTTGGCAAATACATGTACACACACACATACACACACACACACACACACACACACATACACACACACACACACACACACACACACACACACAACAAATAAATACAAAAATAATTTAGGTGAACTAACTTACCTCTACATCTGTCTGAAAGTTAAAAAGATCTATTCTTTGCCAGTTGCTTCCATCCAGGGCTAAGATGTTCCATGCCTGGGAGGGGAGGTAAGAGAGGAGGGTGGGGTGAGAGAGACACATTTGCTGAGAATGTTTTGTATTTCCAAACTTTTATTCATGGTGTATGTCAATTAAAATAAAATATGGAATTATAATACTGTTATTTTAAGAAGACAACATTTAATTGTAATGTTTAGTTTGAACCAAGTTCTCATGAATACTAACAAACAGGCAATACTCTACCTTGGAAATCTGTGCACATCGGCAAAGAGTTACTATATCCAAGAAGGAGAATATTCTAGAGAGAGAGAGAAGATGAGAGGGTGTCAACACCTCAGGACAATTAGAACTTGAAAGACATAATCTAAGGCATCACCTGGACACGAAGAATTTTCAAGAGCCCCTGGCTGGCAACCCACTCAGCTGGCAACACACTAATGCACACTTGTTTCCCACACACTAATGCACATTTATTTCCCACACACTGATACACACTTGTTCCCCACACACTGATGCACACTAATTTCCCACACACTGATGCACACTAATTTCCCACACACTGATGCACACTAATTTCCCATACACTGATGCACACTTGTTCCCCACACACCGATGCACACTAATTTCCCACGGCCGTTGTAAACTCTGTCTGCTCCTACTCTGCTCTAGCCCCGTCATACAGAGTCTCTCTAACCAGGAGACCCCGCGCTTCTCTTTCTCCTGCTCTGAAAACTGATGTGGGAATGGACCCTACCTGAAGACCAGCATTCCAGTTTCCCAGTGCTGGGCCAGGGTGACTAAATCCCATCCTTCTAATGCTCCTAATGCACAACGCCAGCTCCTAGTTCAGATACTGCAGCCTCAAATAATGCGGTTCAAAAGGCTGGATGAGAAAACCCATTTGGCTGGACGTATCTGTTCACACAGCAAAGAGATCGCATCGTCTTTGAGCGCTTCTCCCAAGGCAGATGCCAAGGAGCCATGGGAGATGAGAAAGACGGGGAAGGGGGCAAAGGACAGCTGGAAGCCTGGTGACGCCTGTGAGGGCTTTAGAGGAAGGTGGCCGTGGGTGTGGCGGGGCCTGAGGGGTCCCTGTGACACTGGGTGCTGGTGATAGCGGTGTGGACGCACTGTGTGTGCATTTCAATGCTGGGGAGGCACTGAGGGCGGGCACAATGCTGGCTGGGCAAAAAGAAGCTATGGAAGTGTGAGGGAGAGGACAGGGTAAGATGGCAAATGTATACCAATACAGGTCCCCAAGTCTTCAGAGTTACAGCCAGTGCTGAGTTAAAATTCTGTGGACTCAGGGATGGATGACAGAGCCCTAGTGCCCCAGTACTGCACACTACCATGGTGGCCCGACCCACGCAATACCAGGGGACTAGAGGGGGCAGACGTTGCTCTCCACCAGACTCCATGAACACACGGGGGGAGAAGCCTCAAGGCTGCACTGGTCTTACAGAGCTAAGTACAGAAAATGCCCGCGGCTGAAATGTGTGCTGACATATAGATTCATACTCTCATGTTGGGGATCTGCACACCTACGTGACCTCTATGGGAATTTATTTTGCTCACCCCACAGGCCTTCCTGACCAATAGCCATGTGGCTAGCCCACAGGGGCCCCACAAACTCCCCACGCACACATCATGCTGGGGCCCAGTGCAAACACGTACGACAGAGGTGAAAAGAGTTAAGG